TCATGGTAAAGGTATCACTTCTGAGTCTCTGCAGAAATATTTCTGTAATTGCCTTATTTTTAAGAAAGCCAGATTTCTTTTCATACTGATGTTTATAAAAAGCAGAGCATTTGAAATGTAAATGATGACTAACCATTTTCGTTTCTGTCAATTATAGTACCAAGAGGAAAAACATTTCTATTCTCAGGTCATTGTTTAATTAAGGTGTAACTGTTATGAATATTTTATACAAATCATAGTGTTCAATATGGAATATAAAAATTCAAGCCATGTGTGGTGGCTCACAACTATAATCCTAGTACTTTGTAAGGCCGAGGCTGGTGGATCACCTGAGGTCAGGAATTCGAGACAAGTATGGCCAGTATGGTAAAACCTAGTCTTTCCTAAAAATAAAAAATTACCCAGGCATGGTGGCACGTGCCTATAATCCCAGCTACTTTGGAGGCTGAAGCAGGAGAATCACTTGAACCTGGGAGGTGGAGGTTGCAGTGAGCTTAGATCATGTCACTGCACTCCAGCTTGGGCGATGAGGTGAGACTCTGTCTCAAAAAAAAAGATTCAACTAATAAGGAATTTGTAGTTAAGTGAGAAGATAAGACATATACATATACAAAGATAACATAAAGCAAAAAATGGAGAGTTCCCAGGAAAGGAAGAAAGCAGCACTGTAAGATTTCAGCAATGTCTTACACAGACAGCAGCGGTCCCCACCCATTTTGGCACCATTGACCAGTTTTGTGGAAGATAATTTTTCCACAGACCTGGGGTGGGGGGGATGGTTTGGGGATGAAATCATTCCACCTCAGATCATCAGGCATTAGATTCTCCTAAAGATCATGCAACCTAGATTCCCTGCACGTTCAGTTCACAACAGGGTTTGTGCTCCTAGCTCCTGTGATAATCTAATACCACCGCAGATCTAACAGAAGGTGGAGCTCAGGTATTAATGCTCACTCACCAGTGGCTCACCTCCTGCTGTGTGGCCCAGTTGCTAACAGGCCACTACTGGTCCTTGGCCTGGGGTTGGGGACCCCTGATACACAAGACATTTAGGGAAGAATTGTGCCCAATACTACTTAACTCTAGGTTCTGGAGCTAGTGCTGTGGATAAAACAACTACTTTTGCTTTCCCAGGACTTATTTTTTTAATAGATATTAATCAGGAATTTGCAATATATGTATTATTGGCATATAAAGTATGTCCTATGAACTTTTGTTCAGAATGGATTTTCACGTTCCTGTACTGCAGAGGGCTAACCTGGTACTACCTGAACGAATACAATTGTGAATCACCCTCCCATGAAAAATGGTTTTGTTGACACAATGAAAGTCTGAACCTTCAAGTTTAAGACAAGCAGCAATAAACATTTTTAAAAACCACAAGTTTAACCAGCACCAGCTAGTATACTATATACTGAATGTTTATGCCCTACCGGCAATTCCATTGAAACCTTATCCCCAGCATGATGGTATTAAGGTAGAGCCTTTTGGAAGCGATGAGGTCATGAGAGCAGAACCCTCATGAATGAGATCAGTGCCCTTGTAAAAGAGACCTTAAGCAGCTCCCTCGTCCCTTCTACCATGTGAGGTTACAGCAAGAACACCGCAGTCTATGAACCTGGAAGTGGGCCCTCACCAGATCCCAAACCTGGCAGTGCCTTCATCTTGGAATTCCTAGTCTCCAAAACTGCAGGAAATAAATTTTTGTTCAAAAGCCACTTAAGCTCTGGTGTTCCATTATAGCAGCCCAAACAGACGAAGACACAGGACTTACTCTACTTTCATTGAGTTAGACAAGATTCGGAATAGCTATCCAGTTTGTCATGAGTCATAAATTTATATTTTGTGATATTACTTTACTTTGAAAGTCTAAAAACTCTCAAATAAAATATTCTAAATCAGTATACAATAAACATCCCTCATATAGTTGTCTTCAGTGTTCTGTATTTTCTGGATATATTTCTATACATAAATACACCAGGTTTACATAAGACATTCACTCCTTGATACACATACACACATGTAGATACACACACATACCATGTATACACAAAATGTACATGTAATACATGTGCAAGTTAGACAGATACACACACACACCAACATCTTAAATCATTACGACCTGCTGAAAAAATTACTTTCCCCTGGTATGTGCTCATTTCTTCCATATGGCCCTCCTGGTTGGGAGAGGGTCAGTAAGAAAGCCTCAAGAGAAATGAAAACTCTCTGTACATCCCAACGGTTGTATTTTAAATACTAATTTCACTGGAACACAAATATACTAAATGCATGATTTACTTTTTCCAGGTTGTCCTTTGCATAGTGACAACTATATAATAAATCCCTCAAATCTTCCCTCTCAATCTATGTTTATGACTCAGTTTCACTGAATGCTTACGCTCACCATGCTTAATGGGTACCAATTCTAACACTTGGTCCACAGATTCTATACAATGCACCATGATAAATATTTCATCTTACATCGGTCTCAATCTCACAGGTGAGACCACCATATAACGTAAGTTTAAAAAGAACCAAACTCAAGAATGAATGAGCAGGCCTAACGCACGGTCCTCAAGGGAGTGATTAAGGAAAACCGTCTGCATCCTGCTCACCACTTGGGTCTCCCCAGAGCCAAAAATTAATTGACTTGAGACAGAAAAGTCAAGGACCAACTAAGACCATGCCCCAAAGAGCAGAGCTTAAATACCAGGCAGATCAAATGCAAGAACAGAAGACAAAAAAAAAAAAAAAAAAAAAAAAAAAAAAAAAAAAAGGCACTCAAAGATATTAGACACCAAATAGGACCACACTAAGACTTTACCCTAAATATAATCAAAAGCCCTGAAAAAATCCTGCCTTCTTACTACTTGAATCAATACATTTAATGTCACATCCTAGCTAAAGACATCTCATACTGCACTCCCCAATGGCACTAACTATATTGTGCTATGGTTATTCTCTTCCAATATCTGACTCCCTTCTCTGCCACCTTTGTTAAAAAAAAAAAAGTACTACATAAAAGAAAAGCTAAATGTCCTGCCATTTGGTGAAATAAACTGTAGCAGTATAGAGAAACAGAGGCAGAATCAACGAAATCCCAGCTTTACCATAACACTAGCCATGTGACCCTGAGTAAGTCATGTAACCTCTCTAACTTTCCTCATATAAAATAGGGGTGACAATAACAGCATTTGATCACAGATCATCAGAGAAATGCAAATCAAAACCACAGTGAGCTATGACTTCACACCTGTTGGCACGGCCATTAGGAGAGAGATAACAGATAAGTGTTGGTGAAGACGTGGAGAAAAAGGTAAGCCCGGGCACACTGTTGGTGGGAATGTAAATTGGTACAGCCATTATAGAAAGCAGTGTAGGCCAGGCATGGTGGGATTACAGCTCATGCCTGTAATCCCAGCACTTTGGGAGGCCAAGGCGGGTGGATCACGAAGTCAGGAGTTTGAGACCAGGCTGACCAACATGGTGAAACCCCGTCTCTACTAAAAATACAAAAATTAGCTGGAGGTGGTGGCATATCACTGTAATCCCAGCAACTTATGAGGCTGAGGGAGGTGGAGGTCGCAGTGAGCTGACATTGTACTACTGCACTCCAGCCTGGGTGACAGAGAGAAACTCCATCTCACACACACACACACACACACACACACACACACACACACAAAAGGCAGTGTAGGTGTTGCTCAAAATATTAAAGACAGAATTACCATATGATCCAGCAATTCTACTTCTGAATATACATTCAAAGGAAATGAAATAAGTATGTTGAAGAAGTATCTGTACTTCTATGTTCACTGCGGCACTACTCATAACAGACAAGATACGGAACCAACCAAAGGGTCCATCAGCAGATGAATGGATAAAGAAAATGTGGTACAAATACGCAATGGAATATTACTCAGGCATAAAAAAGAAAGTAATCCTGCCATTTGCAGCATAACAGATGAATGATGAACCTGGAGAACCTGCAGGGCACTATGCTAAGTGAAATAAGCTAGACGCGACAAATAAGGAATCTAAAAAATTTGAACTCGTAGAAGCAGAGAGCATAACAGTGGTTGCCCAGGAGTTGGAGGTAGGGAAAATAGGAAGATACTGGTCAAAAGGTACAAATTTTCCGTTATAAGACGATAACTTCTAGAGATCTTATATACAGCATGGATGGTGATGGATGTGTTAATCTGACTGTGGTAATCAGTATGTATATCAAATCAGCATAAATATATTCAATACACACACCCAGAATGTATTCAATCTTTTTCAATTAAGTATTTAAAAATTTTAAGTGTGTATGAGTGTGTGTGTGTGTGTGGGGGGTCTGTGTGTGAGTGTGTGTGTGTGTGTGTGTGTGTGCGTGTGTGTGTTACACAGAACGATGCTTGGCTTTAATTAGTCCCCATATCAGTACTGACTATTGTTTAAATTATAAATAAACAGATGAATAAAAAAAAATGGGCCAGGCACGGTAGCTTATGCCTGTAATCCCAGCACTTTGGGAGGCTTACGCAAACAGATCATGAGGTCAGGAGTTTGAGACAAGCCTGGCCAACATGATGAAACCCCGTCTCTACTAAAAATACCAAAATTACCCAGGCATGGTGGCGCGTGCCTGTAATCCCAGCTACTCAGGAAGCTGAGGCAGGAAATTCGCTTGAACCTGGGAGGCAGAAGATGACACCACCACACTCCAGCCTGGGTAACAGAGTGAGACTCCATCTCAAAAAACAAACAAAAAAATACGTGAATGATCTCATATGCAATATGATTTGATTCACAATTTTTAAAACCATGAGATCACACATTTGTTTGATGTGTTCTAGAAAGTTTTGAAGTATTGTAATAAACTCCTACTTGGGCAAATTCACAACAGTCAGATCAAATGTCCTTAGAGGACCTTAAGCAAAGAGCCTGTATGTGCACACAGACATGAATTGCGTGAGTATTATAGACTCACACATAAACTTCCTTCTATTACTCACATTCTCATAGAGAGCTTGAAGGGTCTCCAGGTCAACCACAGAATTGTCCAAGTTCACAACAGCTGTAGAAAAAAAAGAAGAAGATAAATTGCTATAAGCCGCCTGGGAAAAGATGTGTGATCGTCTCAGACAACAGGCTCATGACCCAGCAGCCAGATGGCGGAGGGGCTCTAACTCCAATATTTCCCCTTGCCCCCACTGCAAAGCCTGCACCCAGAATTTCACTGGGCCAGGTATCAAGTGTTGAAGCTTTCACTTGCTCCACAAATACTCAATTCCGTGAAAATGGCCCAGGCAAAGGTCAGGGAGAAACTGTGAGGTCTGTCTTTCACGCCCTAACTGAATGAATTTGAAAAATCTGCTTAATACCACAAAAGTAAGCAAATCACTCTGGTGAGTGCTACATCCCAGTATTATTCTAATAAACACTTAAATTCACCAGTTTATCTAGAGCATTTGACAAAGGTAAAATTTAATCATTACACTGATAGACTTAGTACAAAAATGACGGGTGCATTTCCTGTTATAATTCCTCAAAATGTTATAACCAAAGGATGATTCTTTGATATCGGTAGTAATGTCAGCACAGATGCTACCTTAAAAATCCATCCTTAAAATATACACTACATGGTTATACAAGGAAGAAGCCAGAGAGATAATAGAACAATCAGGAATATTTTCTTTATGCATTTGTTTGCCTGGGGAAATCTGTATTGTATTTTGGAGTAGGTGTGCTTTATTACTTGGTTTAGACATAGGTTAATAAAAATGATGCTGTGTTTTCTTCGCAGGTATTAGGTAGAAACAAGGTGAATTTGCCCTGATAGAATTTGTGCCAAGTAGCCAGTGATGCTCTTGGAAGGTTACAAATTTCAGAGACAAAAATCACGAAGTGAATAATCACAAACTAGATATATTTATTTTGATAACAGAGGCATTTACAATGTCTCATCTCTCAAAGTTTCACATGAGACATTATCTAGTTGACTCTGGCAAAACCCCAGGGAAGCATTTAAAAAGACAAGTGGGAATGGAAGAATAGAATGGATGAGAAATCTAACCAAGGTAATTTAGCGTTTGTATTTGGAGCTGGGAACTGAGCCCAGACTCAGTTCCAAAAAATATTGTACCAGGTAGAATATGATACTTCCAACCTAATAATAATCCACGATCTCAGTTTCAAAAAAAAAAAAAACTTAGGTCTGAAATACAAATCTAAGCGTAAGAGTCTCAGTCAAATCTTATTCATTAAACCATCTAAGGCACACTTATCACAAACTTTAATGTTTCAAAGTAGTAAAAGCACAGTCCTACTAATTTTGACCACATTTAAAAAATTAATTAAAAGGGATTAGCTAGTAATTGTGCTGTGATCATATGTAATGAAATGCATAAAACCTGAGTAAAAACAGCAAATTTATGCATGGAATTACCTTCTTTCGATTTGTGCAGAAACTACTTCATGAAAATCTTACAATGAATCCAAAGGTTTCTGATTTTGGAATTCATTGGCTACCTAATAATCCAGTAATTCTCTACTTGATAAGAAAACTATAAAAGAAATCCTAAGAATCAACTTGGTGTAAGATTTCAACCCCAGAACAAGGCAAAGAAACACAATAATATTATTCACAATCAATTGAAAGCTCTTAAAGTACACAATTGCCCTTTGACTTTATCCATCATTTTAAAGCACACTATTATTCCCACATAAAACTTTACTTGTGAATATTCTAAGGTTTCTCATCTTTCTATCTCATGTAACGCCATATACATAAGATCGAAAGAATATTAAGAAAGACAGACATCTCATGCAATGTCATATACATGAGATTGAAAGAATATTGTTAATAATGAATATCTTAATAAATGTCATGTGCTCCTGAACAAGTTCTCAAAGGGTCCTAACTCATGAAATCTCATTTTCCACTCTTCCACAGAAAACGTCACTTGAAAGCAACACTGTTACTGTTTCTCCACAAAATCTCTCCCTACTTGGCATGAGAGAAGTTAACACAATTCAAATGGGAATCAGCAGTTTTCAGAACAAAATCTTCTCAGCTAAAAAGAAAGATTAAATCCTGACAGATGAATGGATGCACTGATAGAAATTCTAGATAGGAAATAAACGTAAAAGAAGTAATTAGGGGAAGATTAGGATTACCAAAGTGCTATGCTTCCTCAATTTAAAAAGCACATGCTGACATTTCAGAAATCAGGACTTTGATTAAATTGTCTATATTACTAGATGTTTAGAAGTGTCTTCCATTGAAATCTGTTCTTTGGTGCATTTTGATTCACCCCTTAAAATCTGTTCGACGGTGCATTTTCAATTGATGAAATTCTAAAATGAAGGAAATAAGATAAGCATTCCCAAATGTATTCAACAAATGTAAGGTGTTTCCTATACATCAGCGATATATTACACTAGTTTACTAGAAGGGTTAACAGTTACTTGAGTAATAATGATTTAAAGTTGGAGCTATTTGGGTGGGAATGTGCTGAATTACCCAGCCTTGAAAATCTGCAGACAACTGATAATGCACAGAGAATACAACAGATTTCTACATCATTAAGAATGCCTAAAAGGGTTTTTAAAATTATTTTTTGCTTATTTACTTATGTACTTACCTATTTATTTATGTATTTATTTATTTAGGTGGCAAAAAGATTCAAAGAAAAAAACTCCTCAGAAATTTCTTGATTCCAAATCCAAAATTTCAGCCTTGTTTGGGAGGAAATTACCTGAGTATTGAAATTTTATCAAGGTGATATAGTTCCTCCAAAGGGAATATTATTTTTACAGGATACAGTTTCCTGATGTGGAACAAACATAGAACATGGAATGAAACTAAACTAAGTTTCAATTTAAATTTTTATTTGTTGCTGCATGACTTCAAGTAAGTTGCTTTTTTATAAGCTTTAGTTCCTTTATGGGGCAGGAACAAGGAGATAATGGGAAGTATTAGCAAAGTTTTGGTTTTGGGTTTTTGTGGGGCTCAAGGGCAATAATAAGTTAAAGGGTTTGGCATGGGGTTGGTGAAGGTTACTTTCCCATGCCAACTTTTCACAAAATTTCAACTATTAGAAGATCCTTCTAGGCTGGGCATGGTGGCTCACACCTGTAATCCCAGCACTTTGGGAGGCAGAGGCAGGAGGATCATGAGGTCAGGAGTTCAAGACTAGCCTGGCCAAGATGGTGAAACCCCGTCTCTACTAAAAATACAAAAAAAATTAGCCAGGCATGGTGGTGGGCGCCTGTAATCCCAGCTACCCAGGAGGCTGAGATAGAGAATTGCTTGAATCTGGGAGACGGAGGTTGCAATCAGCCAAGATTGCGCCACTGCATTCCAGTCTAGGGGACAGAGCGAGAGTCTGTTTTAACAACAACAAAAAAGATCCGTCCTGCTCAAGTGGCCTTATAATCAAGCCCAGGGTTAAACAAGTTGATTTTTTTTTCTATTTGTGTTTTAGCTTCCTCATGTATCAAAAAAAAAAAATTCCTACTGCATCTACTGAAGGATGGCACCTTTACCTGAATGATGAGCTATCAGAATTAAACAAGAGAGCCTGGTACAGAGCTACTGGGGCTTGTTCATTATACTCTGTCTTGTTCATGAGAATTTAAATGATTAAACACAAGACTAGATTTCAGATAAACCCAAAATTTAAAAGAATATTCAGTGATAAATGTTTAATTCAGATTACTTTACCCTCTAATATTCAGCAAGGTGCCACTGTGATTACACTTCCGATTAGAGGTCAGATATCTCACACTCATTTCCTCCTTGTTGCTTTCAGACGCTGTGTAACTCCCATCCTCGCCTGGGACTCATTACAATTCCCACCCCCACTCAACCTCTGCAGTCTACAGTGCAGTTTTAATCACTTTCTCAAAAACATATACAAGTATCTTTAACCAGGAAGAATCTGTTCTGTTTTATGTGAGTGGGTTCGAGGACAGAGGTGTTGAGAGGAAACACTGATCCTTTTGTGCATTAAAAGATTATTCATTTATTTGTCAGATATGCTAACTTTCCAGGATTATAACAAATTGAGATATTTACCACTTCCTTTAAAGAACCTACACACAACCGCAGATTAATAATCACTCCAGCTTGATGTGGTGGCTCACGCCTGTAATCCCAGCACTGTGGGAGGCCAAGGCAAGCACCTGAGGTCACAAATTCAAGACCAGCCTGGCCAACATGGTGAAACCCCATCTCCAATAAAAATACAAAAATTAGCCAGGCATGGTGGTGCATGCCTGTATTCCCAGCTACTCAGGAGGCTGAGACAGGAGAATCACTTGAACTTGGGAGGCAGAAGTTTCAGTGAGCCAAGATCATGCCTCTGTACTCCAGTCTGGGTGACAGTGCCAGACTGTCTCAAACAAACAAACAAACAAACACCACTCCAGACCAAAACAGATAGCAATTCTTGTCTATGATTTTATCAAATGCCAATGACTAGATAGAGAAGTAGAAGAACATAGTAATCTTTCAGGCTTTCATACAAATTGGCTGTATGTCTTTGATTAAGACACTAAGCTTCTCTGAGACTTTATCAAGTGGGATAATAAACTTTTGTTTATAGCATATGCTTACCATGTGGTGAAAATAAGTAATTACATAGTAGAAAGATAACTCAAAAAGCCTTGGAATAATGGGTGTGATTAATTTTAAGGTGTACATTACCTGTAAACACATCGGTTCAGAAATTAGATTAAAACTAGGTGCTAGATTAAAACTAGGTTCAGGACTGAACACGGGCTTTCAATAGTTAAAAGATCACAATAGCTATTCTCATCATGAACTCCACCAGTATGAACTCACTAAGATCCAATGCTGTTTTTGTTAAACCATGCTGTTACAAAATGAAAAATGAAATGGCCTATTTTGGAAGTCAAATAGCCAGTTTCACCAGATATTTTAAATGTCTCAAAACAAAATGTCCAAACAGAAAAAGAAATCTGTTTTTCTTTTGATTTCAAGATTTTGATTGATGGTTGCATTACATTAAAAAATTAAAGAAAAAGCAATTCAAAACTACCAAGCGTTAT